ATAATCCGTGAAGGAACGTGTCGAACAGGGCTTCCAGGCACTTTCAGCCGCTAACGTGCGAAAATCCCCTGTGTAGTCTGCCACACTATGGGAGTCTTGACGTAGTTGGAGCAGCTTACGAGCAGCCTCTCACCCGGAAAATGGAGAATCGAACACTTTTCATACCTCCGCCACAAACTCCTCCAGACTGAGGAAAACGGTGGACTGTTGCTCCCACACCGCCGTAGCCCAGGCGAGGGCCCTCCCGGACATCAGCGTTATCAAATACGCTATTTTTGAGCGGTCCGAGGGGAACGAAGAAGGCTGCAGCTCGAAGATGAGGGAGCACTGGGAGAGAAACGCCCGGCAGGTTCCAGAATCTCCAGCATGGCACTCCGGAGGAGGTAAGCGAGGTTCTCAGGACACCGGGGCAGGGAAGGAGCGCCGCTGGTGGCGGGGTTGCTGAGAGTCTGGGGGGTTACTGTTGTGGCTTGCTGCCTGGTTGTGAATCTGCGGAATTGCTCCAGCAATGTATTGAACGCATGGTCATGCTGTTCTGCCAATCCCTCCATAAGGCTTTGTAGTAACACCTTGTGTCTTCCAATGGTGGCTCCTTGGGAGGACATAGCGTTGCGGAGCTGGTCCGAGTCTGCTGGGTCAGTCCGCCAGTTTGTACTATTACGGCTCAGGCTAAGACCCAGATGCAGACACAGGAGGTGGATAGTATGAGTCTCAGAGTTTATTACAGTACAAGGGGCAGACAATCGGTAGGTCAAGGTAGGCAAAGAGTCGAAATCCAAATCAGGGTCAGGACAGGCAGAAAGGTCAGAACTGGGAAGACTAGAAAAATCAAAAAACTAGAGCACAGGAAACACTGGAACACGCTGGCAGGACTTGACCGGACAAGACAAACTGGCAACAGACAAACCGAAAACGCAGGTATAAATACACATGAGGTAATGTGAGACACCTGGTAGGGGTTGGAGACATTCACAAGACAGGTGAAACAGATCAGGGTGTGACACTTATTTGTGTCAAATGTCTTTTTTTGTACTCATGATTTTTTCACCTGTCCAGTGTGTATTTACAGGTGATTTGAACACTTGTTATGATCATCTTTCACTTGCTTTTTTCAAGTGTCAAAAGTCATTTTTACACGTGTTCTTTACACCTATCCAGTGTGCATTTACAGGTGATTAGAACGCTTGTTATGGTCATTTTTACACGTGTTCTTTACACCTATCCAGTGTGCATTTACAGGTGATTAGAACGCTTGTTATGGTCATTTTTACACGTGTTCATTACACCTGTCCAGTGTGCATTTACAGGTGATTAGAACGCTTGTTATAGTCATTTTTACACGTGCAAAAAATGAGATTTGACACTTGAAAAAAGCAAGTGAAAAATTATAATTACAAGCGTTAGGACGTGTTCCGGGTAAGACGATTCGAACCTTTTGGCTTTCCATACTAGTCAGCATGTAGTATGTTAGAGCGCTCCATTAACCATGCCCCAGTGGGCAGAGCTAGGCATGTTGGACTGGGACACGTTTTAATACAATAAACAGCCTCTTATTTTACAGTGGGTCTGCCATGGTTATGTGTAGCCTAGTTATACTTGAGACCCGTGTATTGCAGTTAATTTCGTCTTTCACTAAAGCAAAATATATTTGAGTAGTAAACCAGGAAACAACGGGTCACAGACAATTCGCAATTGAACATACCAGAGTCTAATCAATAGTGTTGCTGTGGACACTGGATAATCTGACTAACACACACACACCTGTTTGACCTCGCTGTGATACTGTAGGACTACTTATGTAGGACTACTCAGGTAGCATTCAATGTCCTGCATTTGTGTTAAAAATGGCAGCCAGCATTGTAAATAAAGAGATGTGCAGAAAGATAAATAAGCCTCTGTGTCTCTGGATAATTTCCCATTAAATTATTTTTCATGTCAGCCAGGCCCATATTTTCAAATAAATACCATTTGTTTCAATCTCTAGTTTAGTAAAATAAGTATTATTGTTCTGGTCACAAGATAATCTAGAGAATTACGATAAACAGCGCCACACTCAGGCAGAAAACGGAATGTTCTATTCTCAGCCAGGCCCATCTTTTCAAAGAAAACACAATTTCATTATATCTCTATTTGAGCAAGATAAGTCGTTTTGTTGTGATTACAAGAACATCCTAACAATTCAGGTAAAGAGCACCACAGTCATGCAGACAAATCTGAATGTTCTATCATAAAGTGAGAACAATTAGTTTCCCTGGCTGATATGGCTGCTACTTAGAAATACTACAGTAAATTAATAGATTACATTCACTGCTATTTTTAAAACATTTTTAGTCATTTAGCAGACACTCTTATCTAGAGCGACTTACAGTTTGTGCATACATTATTATTTTTAATTTTTTTTCATACTGGCCCCCCATGGGAATCGAACCCACAACCCTGGCGTTGCAAACACCATGCTCTACCAACTGAGCTACATCCCTGCTGGCCATTCCCTACCCTACCCTGGACGACGCTGGGCCAATTGTGCGCCGCCCCATTGGTCTCCCGGTTGCGGCAGCTATGAAGCTGTCTCCAATATAATCGCATAGTTTACACAGACTCACCACTGACCTTTGACAAATAAATCTCCGACCCATGGTCTGTTTTGTTGACGAACTCAATGTATTCCCAAGACTGGTGGTAACCAAATGATCCCAATAATTTAGGTAGCCTAGTAAACGATGGTATGTTCTATTGCAAACTGTCTGGTACCCAGAGGGGTTGGGTCAAATGCGGTAGACACATTTCGGTTGTTGGAGTAGGACTAGGCTATATGTACAGTACCAGTCAAAAGTTTGGACACACCTACTCATTCAAGGATTTTTCACTATTTTCTACATTGTAGAATAACAGTGAAGACATCAAATCTATGAAATAACACATATGAAATCATGTAGTAACCAAAAAGGTGTTAAACAAATCAAAATATATTTTATATTTCAGATTCTTCAAAGTAGCCACCCTTTGCCTTGATGACAGCTTTGCACACTCTTGGCATTCTCTCAACCAGCTTCACCTGGAATGCTTTTCCAACAGTCTTGAAGGAGTTCCCACATATGCTGAGCACTTGTTGGCTGCTTTTCCTTCAATCCGCGGTCCGACTCATCCCAAACCATCTCAATTTGGTTGAGGTCGGGGGATTGTGGAGGCCAGGTCATCTGATGCAGCACTCCATCACTCTCCTTCTTGGTAAAATAGCCCTTACACAGCCTGGAGGTGTGTTGGGTCATTGTCCTATTGAAAATCAAATGATAGTCCCACTAAGCCCAAACCAGATGGGATGGCGTATCGCTGCAGAATGCTGTGGTAGCCATGCTGGTTAAGTGTGCCTTGAATTCTAAATAAATCACATACAGTGTCACCAGCAAAGCACACCCACACCATAACAGCTCCTTCTCCATGCTTTATGGTGGGAAATACACATGCAGAGATCATCCGTTCACCCACACTACGTCTCACAAAGGCACAGCGGTTGGAACTAAAGGACACCAATAATAAGAAGAGACTTGCTTGGGCCAAGAAACACGAGCAATGGACATTAGACCAAAAATCTCACATTTGGACTCCAGATCACAGGACACATTTCACGAGGTGAGATCTTGCATGGAGCCCCAGGCCGAGGGAGATTGACAATTATTTTGTGTTTCTTCCATTTGCGAATAATCGCACCAACTGTTGTCACCTTCTCACCAAGCTGCTTGGCGACGGTCTTGTAGCCCATTCCAGCCTTGTGTAGGTCTACAATCTTGTCCCTGACATCCTTGGAGAGCTCTTTGGTCTTGGCTATGGTGGAGAGTTTAGAATCTGATTGATTGATTGCTTCTGTGGACAGGTGTCTTTTATACAGGTAACAAGCTGAGATTAGGAGCACTCCTTTTAAGAGTGTGCTCCTAATCTCAGCTCGTTACCTGTATAAAAGACACCTGGGAGCCAGAAATCTTTCAGATTGAGAGGGGGTCAAATACTTATTACCCTCATTAAAATGCAAATCAATTTATAACATTTTTGACATGCGTTTTTCTGGATTTTTTTGTTGTTATTCTGTCTCTCACTGTTCAAATAAACCTACCATTAAAATTATAGACTGATAATTTATTTGTCAGTGGGCAAATGTACAAAATCAGCAGGGGATCAAATACTTTTTTCCCTCACTGTATACTGGTAGTTATGGTGCTTTCAAGACAACTGGGAACTTGGGAAAAAACAAGGTCAAATCATGACGTCAGTGGTCTTCAGTTCGGAAAGTCAGGGCCGAGTTCTCAACTTGGAATTCTGAGTTGGATGACCGTTCAAAACTATTTTTCCCCATACGGAGCTTGTTTTTTTCCAGAGTTCCCAGTTGTCTTGAACGCTGCAATAACTTTTGAAAAACTGTGCCCTGGGGAGTGGGACGCAGTTATGACTCATGAGAAACGTAGAAACACTGGACATATGGTGCTTTCAAGACAACTGGGAACTCTGAAAAAAACAAGGTTGAATCATGACGTCAGTGATCTTCAGGTCAGAAAGTCAGAGCTCTAGAAAGAGGCCAGAGTTCCCGACTTGGAATTCCGAGTTGGATGACCGTTCAAAACAAAGTTTCCCCAGTCGGAGCTTGTTTTTTTCCAAGTTCTCAGTTGTCTCGAACGGGGCAATACTGAGAGATTCCTCTACCATGACATCAGTGTGATGATTGGGTTAGATTAGAATCACTGGAATAGACCTTTTGTGGAGATGCTCGTTTTTTGGGTTTCAGCAGGGCTTAGACAGACACATCTTAATTGTATGCTGATGTTAGAGGGAAGGATTGTGACCCGTCTCAGAGATCTCATCCAATTTATCAGTTACTCTTGATTTTATGGCATTTTCTAGTTACAGTCAACATTGCAGCACATGCAGGAACCCACTCCTATCCCCTTCTATCCTTCAAATCCATAGTGCTCTCAAAGTATTACTTTTACAGAACATTTTGTCTATTTAAAATGAACAATGATGTTTTTGTCCCAGAGTCCTGCAGGGTGCTGCAGAGATGGAGCAGGACTCTACCAGGTGAGCAGTTACACTTTGTATTAGGTCTCTACCTTGTTGTGGTCAAGCAGCCAGCTTTCAGATATCTTCTTCAGATCAAACACTAGATCGCAGCATATCTTCATGTTTAGGTAGTGAGTGGGATGTACAGGCCACCTGTCTAAAGACATACTGGTAGTTACATCCTCAGGCTACATTGTATGATGTATTACACACAGTGTGTTGTGATAGTGTAGATCCTGTGTTGCTCCAACACCATTGTACTGAATGGGACACACTCAGGCCTGAAGCTGGCATTATCTCTGTCAGAGTCAGTTTAAGATTAAATATCATATACAAACAGAAATAATAAAAAACATTACAGCGGTTTTAATGGCCTCATGGAGGAACATACCAAAGTTTCATTACCATCTGGTGTTTGGGTCAGCCTTCTACGCACCTGCAGCTGAAAACGGTGACTCTAACAGGATGAAGACACACTGTATTCAACTCAGTAATATTGACACTGCAGAAAATATACTATGTCAGAAAGTTGCTGCTGGTAAAGAAATGAGAAATGTCAGCAACTCAGATATGATCCCACTAAGTTATTGGGACGCACAAACAGACAACGGTTCAATTCTACAGGACCTGACAAAGACACGTCTGTATGTACATCTCACTAAATCACAGTGGTAGGAAGCATAGAGTTGCCGACATTCCTAATTTCCTTATATTAGTTTTCCTGTCCAGCACAAGTTGTAGCTCAGTTGATAGAGCATGGCGTTTGCAACGCCAGGGTTGTGGGTTCGTTTCCACGGGGGGCCAGTATGAAAAAAACATAAAAAAACATGTATGCACTCACTAACTGTAAGTCGCTCTGGATAAGAGCGTCTGCTAAATGACTAAAATGTAATTTAAAATTTAAGAAGTTGTTGGGGGTCGTTCCACAAAATGAGTCCCTTTTGGGTCATGTAAAAGGAGAAAATGACATTTGATTATGCCTAATTTTAACATTATGTCATGTTCAACATAACAAAAAAAACATTTTCCCAATAACAAAAATGACTATAGTAAATGCCAATTTTCAGGATGTCTCCTGGTCTGACAAACAGCACTGTAGCTCTGCCACCTTCCCCTGCAGATGCAGAAGGCCGACATCGGCTGATGCGGTGGATTGAGGCGCAGCCCATGCAAAAAAAAACATATGTCTAGCTTAGACAGAGTTTGCTGTTTTTTAACATTATTATGCTAATTAGATTTTCAGGGGAGACGCGGACATCAACTCTAGGGGGTTAAGTGCCAAATAAAGTAACGGGGTTGATGATTTCATCTTAAATTAGCCATACATCCCCTTGTGACCGGGGGAATGGTATGTAATATGGAGGGGCAATTTAATGCAAGCTTAACAAAACAATTGAAATTGTCTTTCTATCTATGGATAACTGGGTTGACATGTTATGCTCGATCCACTCAGTTTTCCACAACAAAACACTAGGCTGGCCCGGCCCACAAGTGACGAGAGTTTCTCCAGGGAAACGACCCAGGACCTTTATTCAGGAAAATAAACAGAATGCGCCACAGCGCTGGGTAACAATAAAACCAAACCAAAAACCTAGCTCCTCTTTGAGCCTTTCTACATGGTTCCTCCGGTCCCTCTCTGCTACTGGACAGCTAAGCCGTTTACCGGCGTATCAAACAAAAGAAAACAGAAATCTAACAGGCTTGTCCTAACTGGGGTCAGGTCTACAGCAAAGTAACGTCCGGTAGGTTCTTGTTCCGTTGGGTTCGATGTCCCTTTCAGCATGTCAGCTCTTGCTGGTCCAGAGACAAAAACAGATCTGGCCAAAGCCAGGTTAAACAGCCACCACCCAACTTCCAAGCTAATTACATTCAGGTGTGTGTAATTAGGCTCTCCCTTCCGGGCCACCCTCTCTCCTGGCCAGCAGATGTAGCCAATGAGCAGGAATATACCGGCCATCACACACACACCCACCCTCTCACTCCATCACAGATAGTACAAACTTGGAGAAATATTGGGGTTAAGTGGGTAAAAATGTCCATAGAAGTCATAGAAAATGCTGAATTTTTACACTTTAGCAAGTCTTTATTCATATTCAAAATCAGATTTATAGAATTGTCCATGTGGTCTATATCAAAGGGCACATCATGTAATATAATGGGCTTTTAAAATTCTATATAGGTGCACAATTTCTACTTAAAATATCAAAAGGGACTAATTTCCTGTAACGACCCATGGATGTGCGCATGTGCCCTTGTTCACAGGCAGCAGCAGCTGAACAGGAAGAAAGTGGACCTGATAGAACAGTACAGATGTCAGATCCAGAAGACCAAGCTCAAACACAGGAAACAACGGTAAAGAAATTATGTAGTGAATTAGGGGGAACAGTCAGAATGGGGGCTTGAACCAATAACCATCAGAGAGATCAGACTACACACACAGGCCAGTTTATTAGGTACACCCATTTAGTACCGGGTTGGACCCCATTTGCCTCCAGAACAGCTTGAATTCTTCTGGGCATGTGTCTCCTGAGTGGCGCAGTGGTCTAAGGCGCCGCATCGCAGTGCTAACTGTGCCACTAGAGATCCTGGTTCGAATCCAGGCTCTGTCGCAGCCGGCCGCGACCGGGAGACTCATGGGCGGCGCACAATTGGCCCAGCGTCGTCCAGGGTAGGGGAGGGAATGGCCGGCAGGGATGTAGCTCAGTTGATAGAGCATGGCGTTTGCAACGCCAGGGTTGTGGGTTCGATTCCCACGGGGGGCCAGTATAAAAAAATATGTATTCACTAACTGTAAGTCGCTCTGGATAAGAGCGTCTGCTAAATGACTAAAATGTCAATTCTACAAGGTGTCAGAAACGTTCCATAGGGATGATGGTCCATGCTGACGCAATGGCATCACGCAGTTGCTGTAGACTGGATGGCGGTACATCACAGGATGCTGCTGATGTACCATAATAATGGCCAGAAAGGAGCAAATGGAATGGCATCAAACACAAGGAAACCAGGTCTTGGGACTGCGCAGGCCACTCAATTAAACTGAACTTGCTGTCATGTTCCAGGCAATGTTTTTCCACTGCTCAATGGCCCAGTGTTGGGGATCGCGTGCCCACTGGAGCACTTCTTCTTGTTTTTAGCTGATAGGAGTTGAACCCGGTGTGCTCGTCTGCTGCAATAGCCCATCCGTGACAAGGATCGACGAGTTGTGCGTTCCAAGATGTCGTTCTGCACACCACTGTTGTACTGCGCCGTTATTTACCAGTTTGTGTCCCGCCTGTTAACTTGCACGATTCCTAACATTATCCTTCGACCTCTCTCATCAACAGGCTGTTTTCACTCACAGGACTACCGCTGACTGGATGTTTTTTGTTTGTCGCACCATTCTCGGTAAACCCTTCTCGGTAAACCCACTGTCGTGCGTGAAAAGCCCAGGAGGGCGTCCGTTTCTTAGATACTGGATTCCGGCACGCCTAGCACCGATGATCATACCCCGCTCAAAGTCGTTTAGGTCACTCGTTTCGCCCATTCTAACGTTCTATCGAACAGCAACTGAATGCCTCGATGCCTGTCTGCCTGCTTTATATAGCAAGCCACGGCCAAGTTACTCACTGTCTGTAGGAGCGATCAATTTTTGTGAAGGGGTACCTAATAAACTGTCCGGTGAGTGTAAATATCCTGTGCAGTGGCGACCTGTTTTGAGCTCCACCTGTTTAGCTAAAACATATATATTAACTCAGCAAAAAAAGAAAGGTCCTCTCACTGTCAACTGCGTTTATTTTCAGCAAACTTAACATGTGCAAATATTCTTATGAACATAACAAGATTCAACAACTGAGACACAAACTGAACAAGTTCCACAGACAGATTCCACAGACATTATTCCACAGACAGAAATTGAATAATGTGTCCCTGAACAAAGGGGGTGTCAAAATCAAAAGTAACAGTCAGTATCTGGTGTGGCCACCAGCTGCATTAAGTACTGCAGTGCATCTCCTCCTCATGGACTGCACCAGATTTGACAGTTCTTGCTGTGAGATGTTACCCCACTCTTCCACCAAGGCACATGCAAGTTCCCTGACATTTCTGGGGGGAATGGCCCTAGCCTTCACCCTCCGATCCAACAGGTCCCAGACGTGCTCAATGGGATTGAGATCCGGGCTCTTCGCTGGCCATGGCAGAACACTGACATTCCTGTCTTACAGGAAATCACGCACAGAACGAGCAGTATGGCTGTTGGCATTGTCATGCTGGAGGGTCATGTCAGGATGAGCCTGTAGGAAGGGTACCACATGAGGGAGGAGGATGTCTTCCCTGTAACGCACAGCGTTGAGATTGCCTGCAATGACAACAAGCTCAGTCAGATGATGCTGTGACACACCGCCCCATACCATGACGGGCCCTCCACCTCCAAATCGATCCCGCTCCAGAGTACAGGCCTCGGTGTAACGCTCATTCCTTTGACGATAAACGTGAATCCGACCATCACCCCTGGTGAGACAAAACCGCGACTCGTCAGTGAAGAGCACTTTTTGCTAGTCCTGTCTGGTCCAGCGACGGTGGGTTTGTGCCCATAGGCGACGTTGTTGCCGGTGATGTCTGGTGAGGACCTGCCTTACAACAGGCCTACAAGCCCTCAGTCCAGCCTCTCTCAGCCTATTGCGGACAGTCTGAGCACTGATGGAGGGATTTTTCCTGGTGTAACTCGGGCAGTTGTTGTTGCCATCCTGTACCTGTCCCGCAGGTGTGATGTTCGGATGTACCGATCCTGTGCAGGTGTTGTTACACGTGGTCTGCCACTGCGAGGACGATCAGCTGTCCGTCCTGTTTCCCTGTAGGGCTGTCTTAGGCGTCTCACAGTACGGACATTGCAATTTATTTCCCTGGCCACATCTGCAGTTCTCATGCCTCCTTGCAGCATGCCTAAGGCACGTTCACGCAGATGAGCAGGGACCCTGGGCATCATTCTTTTTGTGTTTTTCAGAGTCAGTAGAAAGGCCTCTTTAGTGTCCTAAGTTTTCATAACTGTGACCTTAATTGCCTACCGTCTGTAAGCTGTTAGTGTCTTAACGACCATTCCACAGGTGCATGTTCATTAATTGCTTATGGTTCATTGAACAAGCATGGGAAACAGTGTTTAAACGCTTAACAATGAAGATCTGTGAAGTTATTTGCATTTTTATGAATTATCTTTGAAAGACAGGGTCCTGAAAAAGGGGTCTCTTTTGTGCTTTCTTGAGTAAGGCAGCTCCAAAATGCAGGTGTTTCAGCCTAGCTCAGTGCTTTCTGTGGTGGTGGGGCAGCCAGCGGAAAATATGGTGCGTAGTGGTTGGTAATGTTCTCTACTTGCGCCGTGAATGGCTCACTACATCACTGCAAAATCTATGGGTAGAGCTCGAAAATTCAAGCCCTTGGGTGCTACCATAGAGTTACATTAGAAGTGCCCATCCAAGAAGGCTCAAGGTCATTGGCCTCAGATAAAATGACTTCAAACCACGTTATATCTACCGTAGCTTTGATTGGACTGATCATGTCAACATCATACTTTCAAAATCTTAGCTAGCAAGCTAGCAGTCATCATCTGAATCAATTCGACAGTCTACTGGCAAATCCTTTTCAATCCTTGTCATATGAAGAAAAATTATGAAGAGAAATTATAGATAAAACGTATCGGCCATTGGACATAAACAACATTTGCCCACGAAGGACCGCCGCGGCACCTTCCTGTTCAAGTGAGCACAGCACAACAAGTTGAGTCCAAAAATGTATTGTATGCTGCTGCATAAATTATGTAATATTCCAGGGAGATATGTATACTGTAGCTAAGAAAGTAATACTAAGTGTATGTTGGATAGTAAGCTGTTAGTAGCCCATGTGCCTCACCCTAATAATTTGGTCCCTTTTCCCCTCATAATTTTGCCTACTGTTCTGACTTGGTGGTGCACATGTAGCCTATAACCTGTTTTAGAGAAATGTAATCATTTAATATTGTAAGAGCTTTCATTGTCTGCTTATATGCCCCCTTTATTTATTCTACGGTTCTGACTTGGTGTACAGGGAGAATACTGTAAGAAAGGCCCATGTTCTGAATTCTGTCGCTGTACATTTCAAAAGTGCTGAACAAATAGTTATATTGATACATCCGTCCTAGCTCGCTCATGAATGTCTTAATAAAAATTACGGATTGCCTCTTATCCGCTCGTCGTCCCCTTATGCCATAGTTGGTACGTCTCAATTGTCAGTAGAAACCACAAGTCAGCCATATCAGCTATGGGTTTTTTAAAGGCAGTTGTTGGTGCTATCATCTTCAGGACAGGAATACCGGCTTACTTAACGGAGGAATAAACACACATGTTCATCGTTGGTGTTTCAACCAGAACGCGGGAAAAAACCCTTTCTTTATTTTCGCACATGCGCAGTTGTACATTTCTCATAGGGCATAACTGTACCAGTGTAAGAACACAATTTATAACATATTAGTCTATATGTTAACAGCAGTAAATGAGGCTGAATGAATTGTTTCGCTGCCAGACAAGGCTCCGCTGATAGCCAGGTGTAGCAGTGGTAAGGTGTTGGGACTCTGCTGTCGGGGCAGCTTTATGTGGGCCCTAACAGTTTGTGGGCACTGTTTGTCACCGTTATAGTGCAATTAATGTATTGTTTAGTGTTGTGTTGTGCAGTGGCTTTGCTGGCATGCATCAAAATATATATATATATTTTTTCCCCACCAAGATTCACATGCTAAAATCGCCACTGATCTTGTGTGCTTTTTCTGACGGGATAAAGCTTGAAAACCAGCTCCAGCAGCAGATAGAGCAGCATAAGCACATAAACTCTGTCTTTGTGAGTTTGTCTGCTTATACCTGTGAGAAATCTATGAATCCAATAGAACTGAATAGCTGTTAAAATAAATGGCAATGACCTTACCTAGCCTGCCAATAGCCTTTAGAGAGCGTCCACCATATTGCTTTCATCTATCCAGTCTTTCCAGATCTGTGAATACTAAATGTTATCTCTTCCCTCCAGAGCCCAGACAGACTGTCTGCTGAAATAGAGAGCATAGAAAACACCCAGTCTCAGCTGTTGAAGGCTGATAAGAACCTCTACACACGATAGACTTTAACATGAGCTAGTGCACCATCAGGTGTGCAACTGTGATGTATCTGTGTTTGATATGAGTGTGTGCTTGCATGTGTCTATAGAACAGCTGAAGTTGTCTCAGCTCTGCCATCTAGAGGAGGAGCTGGATGAGGCCAGGAGACAGACTCAGACAGAGACAACAGACACACACACAGACTAAACCCTGGAACTACACACTGTAATAGTGGCCACTGTGTATATCATAGTTACAGATAGTCCCATGGCTCATAGTTACAGATAGTCCCATGGCTCATAGTTACAGATAGTCCCATGGTCCATAGTTACAGATAGTCCCATGGTTCATAGTTACATATAGTCCCATGGCTCATAGTTACAGATAGTCCCATGGCTCATAGTTACAGATAGTCCCATGGCTCATAGTTACAGATAGTCCCATGGCTCATAGTTACAGATAGTCCCATGGCTCATAGTTACAGATAGTCCCATGGCTCATAGTTACAGATAGTCCCATGGCTCATAGTTACAGATAGTCCCATGGCTCATAGTTACAGATAGTCCCATGGCTCATAGTTACAGATAGTCCCATGGCTCATAGTTACAGATAGTCCCATGGCTCATAGTTACAGATAGTCCCATGGTTCATAGTTACAGATAGTCCCATGGTTCATAGTTACAGATAGTCCCATGGTTCATAGTTACAGATAGTCCCATGGCTCATAGTTACAGATAGTCCCATGGCTCATAGTTACAGATAGTCCCATGGCTCATAGTTACAGATAGTCCCATGGCTCATAGTTACAGATAGTCATATGTTCAGTGTGTAGAAGCAAACTGTTGAAAGTTTTGGGATTGTTCTTTTTCCCTTGATATTGTGTATTGTATTCCTCTGTTTGGTATTGTGGTTCTAGATGATTTTTACATAATTATAGTTTTATTTTTTATTCAGGCATTATTGAAAGGAAGCGGATATTCGACTGGCAGAAGAAAAATGTAAGATTAGGCATAGGGGTCGAAATTAATTAAGGTTAGGTGTAGTTTCAGTGAGGTTAGGGTTAGGGAAATTGGGTTAGCGTAGGCTTCTGGCGGTCAAATATACAGTATACTGTATATACACTGCCAATGGCTGGGATGAGAACAACTACACTCCTCATAAAAAGCTCAAGGATCTTTCTTGGTTAAAAGTTAAATAAATACCACTGTGTGTGTGTGTATCCTTTGGCTTGTGAGCAACCTTTACATGCATTACACTGTAAGTATCTGTAATTATGTTAATTATAGCATCAGCCCCATTCCACCTGACAAGCTAGTATGTACTAATGCTGTAGAACCTGTTGACGGGGGGAGGGAGGGAGCAGAGAGACACACAGAGCTGAGGCCATGGTTGCATGCTCCTCTCTGAGGTCTGTTGAACCTGAGAACTTGTTGTCAGTCTCTTTCTCAAGGTTCAGCTTTCATCCCTCTAGGATTATGTCACATATTGGAGTCAAACCTACAGTAACAGATTTTTCTTGTTCCTTCATGCTGGTGTGTGTGTGTGTCTGTGTGTCTGTGTGTGTGTGTGTGTGTGTGTGTGTGTGTCACATATCATGCAGGTACACACCACAACTCTACAGGGACAGTAATCTGAAGCCAACACAGAGGTACTTAACACAGTGTGTCGGGTGTTAATTGTTTAACTAGCACGTATGTCATCTATTATTACAGTTACTCAAACACACACAGACACACAGGGAAAACCACACACACACACAGGAGGATCTAAACCAACTCCTAACCTCGCCTTCCAAACCCCAGTGTCTCTAGAGTTGAGACTTGAGGTTGAGAGAAAGCAATAGGCTAATGCTGCTGCCGACAGGATTTCTCTCAGACTCCTGATCCACTGATCCACTCTCTCTGAGTCCCAGCTTACTGTCCAGTTCCAAGTGTGTTGATCCATGCCAGGTTTTCTCTGCTGTCCAGAGTCAGGCCCAGACCTGTGGCTCTGCTCTATGTCTAGGAGGTGAGTCAGAGAGAGAGAGGAGGAAAGAGGAGCTTGGTGTGGCCCTGAAGCCTGTGGCACATTCCTAGAAGAGACCACACCCTCAATCGCACCTCACACACACACTCACTTTTCCAGCTGCTAACTTAGTTAAAAAATATTCAGTTGAGCAGCATACACACACTAAGTCTAAGACATTCTCACTCATACACACGTATGGTAATACACTCACACTGTACGCAAATTAACTTTCATGGAGTGTTGTTATCACAGCCAGGTCACCCGTGATACAAGTCAGTATTCGACGTTCATCCATGTCTGAGGACGTTGGGAGATTACGTGGAAACTGGCCACTAGGGGCAACAGTGAGCGCTGTTACCTTCAAGTAGGTTTTGGTGTTGTGGACGGGGATTGTGGAGGGCGTAAGCATCTGCCCCTGATTCCAAAGGTTGCAAGTTTGAATCCTGCGATGGAAAGTTGTTTTTGAGATTTTTGTTTTAAGCCTATCCCAAACCTTAACCCTTACCTTAACCATTCAGAGTTAATGCCTAACCATTATATTTAAGAGTTCATGCCTAAACTTAACACTTACCTTAAAAATTCAGAGTTAATGCCTAAACTTAACCTTAAACACTTAGAAATTTGACGTTTGGAACAACTTAGAAATTTGACGTTTCAGAAACATAGATGAACGTCTAATTCTAACGTGAGACTGAGAGCTAGTTGTGTTATCAGACACACCAGAGTAGATTTGCTTATGCCGGTCTAGATCAGGTGTGTGCATGTAGTGTGTGTGTAACACAGGGCAGGGTGCACCAAGGTACGTGGGCAGACATCCAGACCGTGAGACACACCCTGCACTGAACAAGCATGCATATGTCAGTGTGTGTGTATGTGTGTGTGTGTGTGTGCTGCAGGATATCAGGGGAGCAGGGTGGAGCTGATCTGACAGAACAAAAGATGTCACACACACACACACACACACACACACACACACACACACAGTAAGAAAACTCAGTGCCCCTTAGGGATATGGGAAACATGAATGAACATTTGGTTGAGTTGTCAACTAACCTGAATTCAACCTGAAATCAACAAAGAATGTCACCATGTCATTGGATTTAGGTAAAAAGTTAGGTGAAAAAAATACTGAAATTCCCTTGCATTGATGACTTTTTTCAAATCCAATCAGTTTTCCACTTTGATTGAACATCATCACATTGCATTTTTTTGTTGAAATTAGTGGAAACAACGTTGATTTAACCAGTTTTGCCCAGTGGGATTGTACTGGGCAGGGCAAACAGATCAAGTACAACTCAACATTTTTTGATGGATTAGACCTACTGGTAGACATGGACAACTTTGTTATGTTAACACTATGCATCTGAATCAGCATGCAGGATGGTTTAGTCATCGAAGAAACAAGAGCTCTATGTCTCAGACTTCCCTGTCGGCAGAGAGAGAGAGAGAGAGAGAGAGAGAGAGAGAGAGAGAGAGAGAGGACATAAAGAGAAGGAGGGAGAGGGGGGGTAATAGCAAAGACAGTATCGCAGAAACTGCTTCTCCAATGGAAATCCCCGATAACGCTTGTAGGTGATGTCATGGCGACGTCGGCTTGCTATGCTCATGCGCAGAAACACGTCATCGTGTGTCGTCTCGCGCCGAACTGCGCACTGGCAGGCCGTCAAATCAAAGGCACTCCTTCAATATAAAGTTGTTTTTGACGAAAATGAAAACGTTTCTGTTTGTCACTTTCACGAGGTTGGAGTAATAACATATTCAACTACTTAAGACATTGGCTCGAATCTAGGTTGTGCCTAGAACTATGCACCAATTTGTAAGTCGCTCTAGATAAGAGCGTCTGCTAAATGACTAAAATGTAAATGTAAACTAAGGAAGCTATTTTCACTTCTCTCATTGACTTTTCAAAATCCAAACCCCTGCCTGGTATGCTTGGTCTGTTTAGCACGCGTTCCCGGAAGTCTCGCGATGTTGCGGCTCTGGGTTTAGAAACTCTGTGGTAACAGTTTTTGAAATATGCCAGTAGTCAACTTCCAATAGTTTTCAACTGTCAGCTTTCCAACAGTGAGAATGGGAGGAGTTAGGAGGGAGGGAAGGGGAGTTAGTTGCTCAACTTCTTCCTTGTTGTATCTCCGCGGTGTGGAAGAGCACGGGCAAAGAGGTAGGTTTAGCAGAGGCAGACAGGTCAGGCCTGAGTAGTGTGGAGCTCCTGGGCGTTTTGGGCGGATAGGGTGGAGTCCCAATGGGAGAAAGGAATGTAATACACAGACGAGCCGAGGAACACTAGTGGAAGTACCGCGGAACGGATATACGGCCATACACAGCGGTTCAATCCAGATAGACAAGAGTAGCCTACAGGTTGTTGCCCACTTGAGGGTAAGAGACTGAATCATTATGTCCGTAACAACTCTCTCTGAAACAGGTCAATCTATCCAAGTGATAATTTATCCAGGTGATCTCTCCGTGCCTTCTATGAATTAGTATACATAATCTCAATGTAACTCAGTATATGTAGCCTATACTATACCAAGAGAATGAAATAGCACTTTGATCCTTGACGCAGTCAAAAGTTTACTGTAGTTATGTAGCCGACAGTATCTATTGCGATCACTGTTGGATTAAGCTACTCTAGTAATAACTCTGTAATAACGTCTGGTTTCATTGAAAGCTGCCAACCAATAGAAACTCTGCAAGACTTGCTTGGCAGTCATCAATTAATTGATATAAATTCGCATACACACAAATAAACTGCTGTATTATAGTAGCCCTCTATTATAGCCTATATATTGTCGTGCATAAACAGGACAAGATGTTGTCTGTCGTGTTATCTAATAATGTAGACTACATAGTTGGACTAAAGTCAATTGATAATCAAAGTCCTATGTCTTGTAAATTACCACACAGAAGGTGTTTGTTTGTGTGTGTGTGTGTGTGTGTGTGTGTGTGTGTGCTGAGTACAGATGTTCTGCTTTGTATCTGACTGATAATAGGCCTACTTTAGCCTTCCTGTATGTCAGCCTACTACTTTCTGTGTGTGTGTTTGTGATTGTGTGTGTGTGTTTGTGATTGTGTGTGTGTTTGTGATTGTGTGTGTGTGTGTGTTTGTGATTGTGTGTGTGTGTGTGTGTTTGTGATTGTGTGTGTGTTTGTGATTGTGTGTGTTTGTGATTGTGTGTGTTTGTGATTGTGTGTGTGTGTGTTTGTGATTGTGTGTGTGTGCCTGTACGTGTGCGTGTTTACTACTGCCTCAGCTTTTGCCCAGGGGGCCAGCCGTTTAAGTCGCAGGTGGTAGTGTACTTGCCCCACAAGCATAGAGTTGCTGGTTCAAACCTCGCTTCAGCAGATTGCGCCCCCTCAGTCGCTACAATATATGTATCTCTAACTTATTTAGTCTGCTTTGGCCTCTGAATCATAACGTCTATACCATACAACATGAACTTTAGCATATGTACCACCTACACACTTGTAAACTCAATGACCAACCTTCACATCTAAGTTTTCAGTCTTTATATTACAAAATAGAGGATTTGCAGATTGGAATAGCACATATAGATTTCTTCGTGCATGTGTGTGTTCATGTTCCTCCTGTTAGATCATATGCTGTCAAGGCTGCACCCTTTGTTTGCATTGTCTCAGGGTCAATGTCAATCCGTGTGTTTGTTCTCGTGCTTTCGAGAATGCATTCCAGCCCTTTGTGTACTTGTAGTATCTGACCTTGAGTCATTGTACTGTATGTGGTGCTGTTGTCTTTTCAGTCAGACAGTGATGACATCCTGATGATATAGGACAGGTAGAGGTACTTATGTCTGTGGCTGTGTCTCAAATGACGGCCTAACTCCCTATGTAGTGCACTACTTTTGGACAGAGCCCTATGTGAATTATGATGGGAATAGGGTGTCATTTCAGATCTGCCCGTGCGAGTGATGATATAGAGAAGGACAGGTACACCCCCCCCCCCCCTTCTCTCTCTCGCTCTGCACTACTCTCGCTGACCTATTTAAACGACTAACTGTAGAATCCACCAGAATCGGTATGCAGGATCAATCTGTGTGTTTGTTTAGTGAGGCGTGTTCAGGTGTGTGTATGAGGTGTGTATGTGTGTAAGGTGTGTGTGTATAGTTGTACAGGTTCTGTCTCCTCATGCTGTGTTCACACAGGCAGCCCAATTCTGATATTTCTTTCTACTAATTTGTCTTTTGACCAATCACATCAGATGTTTTCACATCAGATATTTTTCACAGCTGATCTGATTGGTCAAAATACCAATTAGTGCAGAAAATATCAGAATTGGGCTGCCTGTGCAAACGCAGCCTCAGTTACTTATTCACGTGTTGAGACAGAGACAAATGTTCCCTCTGCCTCTCTCTTTTCTTCTCTCTATCCCTCGCTCCCTCCCTCTATCTCCATCAATCCTCCTCTCTCTCTTTTTCTCTCTCCTGCCTTTTCTCCCTTGCTCCCTCTATCATTTCCTCTCCCTCCCCTTCCCCCCTCGCTCTCTCTTTATCTATCTCTCTATCTTCCTCTGTCCCCCTCTCTCCCGTTGTTTACACAGGAATGCAGAGAATGGCGGGTCGGAACGTTGATTGAACAAGCATGGGTTAGGTAACTCTGAGTCAGACAGAGATGATAGATATAACTATATAGCCTGGAGTGGAGGTTTGGTTATTAAATCCTCCTGAAGTGGTTTGTGGTTTCAAACCCATTCTGTTTGCTGCCTTTAAAACAGTCCTGCCCTTCTCTGCCCTTTTCTGAGAAACACATAACAAACACATGTGCGCATGCACACACAGACACACACAAACACACACACAATTCCTGTTATTATTCCTGTGTCATCACTTGAGGTAAAGAAAAAGTTGTTGTTGCCACAACAAACCAAACAAATAGATGTCCCGTGTGGGAATGTCTTGTTGGACAGGTACAGCAGACACGGTCAGCACTGGATGTTGTCATTCATCTGTCTGCTAACCAATCAGTGTGCCCCTTGTTCCCTCACAGCCAGTAAAACAGCGTGTGATTGGCTTAACCCAATCTCAACCAATGAGCACACACACACGCACGCACAAACACACACACACAACTTGTGGAAGATATCTCAGGTTTACGGTGTTTGTTGTGTAATTTCTACCTGCCTTAAGGTCAAGGTGAGTAACCCCACCTGTACAGTTACGCTCTCATTCTGACACAACAACTTACCTCAGAGGATAGGTTAGCGCAGGCCTTAATCAAATATGACAAAGACATCCTGTGAAGGTGAAATTACAGAGGAGGAACTTCTGGATGCAATTAAAGACTTTAAGTCCGGGAAAACTCCAGGGTTGGATGGCATACCAGTCGAGGTATACCAAACCTTTTTTGATATACTAAGAGGACCGTAATTAGCATGTTTTAACCACTCCTATGTAAATGGTAGATTATCTGACACTCAAGAAGAAGATCTCATTATTACTGAAACAGGATACAAGTGGAAAATATAAAGATCCAGTCCATTAAAAAAATTGGAGGCCCCTTACACTTCAGTGTTGTGATGCAAAAATTCTAGCAAAATGTATAGCGCATAATTAAACAGGTATTGTCGGATATTATTCATTCTAATCAGACAGGTTTTTTACATGGAAGATAAAAAACCTCTGTAGCTCAGCTGGTAGAGCACGGCGCTTGTAACGCCAGGGTAGTGGGTTCGATCCCCGGGACCACCCATACACAAAAATGTATGCCCGCATGACTGTAAGTCGCTTTGGATAAAAGCGTCTGCTAAATGGCATATTATTATTATTATTATTATTATTTGGAGATAATATAAGGCAAGTATTGGAAACAATAGAACCCTATGGAAAATATGGGAAACCAGGCCTGCTATTCATAGCAGACTTCGAAAAGGCAGTTGATAAAGTACGACTGGGGTTTATATATAAATGCCTGGAGCATTTCAATTTTGGAGAATCTCTTATAAAATGGGTCAAAATCATGTATAGTAACCCTAGGTGTAAAATAGTAAATAATGGCTATTTCTCAGAAAGTTTTAAACTGTCAAGAGGAGTGAAACAAGGTTGTCCACTATTGGCATATCTATTTATTGTGGCCATCGAGATGTTAGCTATTAAAATCAGATCCAATAATAATATCAGAGGATTAGAAATCCAGGGCTTAAAAACAAAGGTGTCATTGTACGCTGATGATTCATGTTTTCTTTTAAATCCACAACTAGAATCCCTCCACAGCCTCATAGAGGATCTAGATACATTTTCTAACCTCTCTGGATTACAACCAAATTATGACAAATGTACTATATTACGTATTGGATCACTAAAAAATAAAAAATGTACATTACCATGTAGTTTACCAATAAAATGGTCTGATGGTGATGTGGATATACTCGGAATACATATCCCAAAGGAAATAAATGATCTCACTTCAATACATTTGAATAGAAAGTTAGCAAAAATAGATAAGATCTTGCTACCATGGAAAGGTAAATACCTGTCAATTTGTGGAAAAATCACCCTGATTAACTCTTTAGTATTATCCCAGTTTACCTATTTGCTTATGGTCTTGCCTACGCCTAGCGAACTGTTTTTAAAAATTATATGAGTAAAAAATATTCAATTTTATTTGGAACGGCAAGCCAGACAAAATTAAAAGGGCCTATTTATATAATGAATATGAATTCGGAGGACAGAAATTATTAAATATTAAAGCATTAGACCTATCACTAAAAGCTTCAGTCATACAAAAGTTATACTTAAATCCAAACTGGTTCTCAAGCAAATTAGTAAGATTGTCTCACCCAATGTTCAAGAATGGCCTTTTTCCCTTTATTCAGATCACAACCACTCATCTCCAAAATATCACTATTTCTAAAACAAGCCATAGAAAGTTGGTTGCAATTTCAATTTAATCCTCCAGAAATGACAGAACAAATAATGCAACAAATATTGTGGTTAAATTCAAATATACTAATTGACAAAAAAACTTAATTTTTTGACAGAATGTTTAAAAAAGGTATAATCTTTGTAAATGATATCATCGGTAGGACTGGTGGAGTTATGTCGCACATGCAGCTAACAAAAACATATGGAAATGTCTGCTCTACCCAAAATTACAACCAAATAATTGCAGCCTTACCGCAAAAGTGGAAGAGGAAAGTGGAAGGGGGAGAAAGTAAGGAACTTGTCTGTCGGCCTTGCATTAAAGAACATAATTGGTTAAGGAAAACTGTGATAAATAAAAAAGAAATCAGTTTCACTTAAGGATCAAATGATTGACAGCCGTCCCATATAGATTGCAAAATAGTTGGGAAGAGATTTTTGATGTACCGATCCCATGGCATAGTGTTTATGAACTGACACGCAAAACGACACCGGATTAAAAAATTTGAATCTTTCAATTTAAATTATTATATAAAATTCTTGCTACCAATAGAATGTTATTTATATGGGGGATACAATCTTCCCAGCTCTGCAGATTTTGCTGTGAAGAGACAGAATCATTAGATCATTTGTTTTGGTTCTGTCCATTTGTAGCTTAAAAAAAAAAAAAAAAAAAAAAAACCTGTGATTTGAGAGTAGGACTATTTAATGCCTTGAGGTAATGTTATCCTTGGAGCACAGAGTCATGCAGGTTAGCCACTAGACAATCACTGTGCAGGATGTAGCATGTTAGCCGTAGCTAGCAGGCTGCTGGTGAGTCTCAGTGCTGCTGCTGAGTAAACTACAGCCAGCCTTTTATCGAGTGGGCAGGGCTATAACGTACCTGGTTACTATGGTTACCTATAGCTCTAGGTGTGTGTGGATTTTACATTACATTTACATTTTACATTTAATCACCACACTGTACGCTACAGAACAACCCATCCACTCACCCACCCACCCACCCGGATGCACCCCCACATTTTAGTAGACACTCTTATCCATCGCGACTTACACCCACCCACTCGTATCCTCTTTGGAGGACAAAAGTTTTTTTTGTTACATATACATTTTACACACATTTTACATACATGGTAGTTTTTTTTCACAGTTACATAAAATACATCCGTTTTTATATATATATATATATATATATATACACACACAAACGTATGTGGACACCCCTTTAAATTAGTGGATTCGGCTATTTCAGCCACACCCGTTGTTGACAGGTGTATAAAATCGAGCACACGTCCATGCAATCTCCATAGACAAACACTGGCAGTAGAATGGCCTTACTGAAGAGCTCAGTGACTTTCAACGTGGCACCGTCATAGGATGCCACCTTTCCATCAAGTCAGTTGGACTCTGGAGCAGTGGAAACGCGTTCTCTGGAGTGATGAGTCACGCTTCACCATCTGGCAGTCCGACGGACGAATCTGGGTTTGGCGGATGCCAGGAGAACGCTACCTGTCCGAATGCATAGTGCCAACTGTAAAGTTTGGTGGAAGAGAAATAATGGTCTGAGGATGTTTTTCATGGTTCGGTCAAGGCCCCTTAGTTCCAGTGAAGAGAAATCTTAATGCAACAGCATACAATGACATTCTAGACGATTCTGTGCTTCCAACTTTGCGGCAACAGTTTGGGGAAGGCCCTTTCCTGTTTCAACATGACAATGCCCTCGTGCACAAAGCGAGGTCCATACAGAAATGGTATGTCCAGATTGGTGTAGAAGAACTTGACTGGCCTGCACAGAGCCCTGACCTCAACCCCATCGAACACCTTTGGGATGAATTGGAAAGCCGACTGCGAGCCAGGCCTAATCGCCCAACATCAGTGCCCGACCTCACTATTGCTCTTGTGGCTGAATGGAAGCGAGTCCCCGCAGCAATGTTCCAACATCTAGTGGAAAGCCTTCCTAGAAGAGTGGAGGCTGTTATAGCAGCAAAGGGGGGACCAACTCCATATTAATTAGTGCCAATGATTTTGGAATGAGATGTTCGACGAGCAGGTGTCCACATACTTTTGGTCATGTAGTGTATATACACACATAACCTTTCGGATAGTTAGTACTTGGACATCTATATAGTGTTTTCAGTAATAACTATTACCGATCATGAGCTTTTTAAACCCAGCCCTCTGCTACTCTCAACCCAGCCCTCTGCTACTATGCGATTGAACTTCTCTAATCGCATAGTATCCACAGATTGTACGTTAAAGATAAATATTTTCCCTAAGAGTATTATTATAATGTTGATTGATTGACTATGGCTTTCCAAATCACCCAACACTGCTATTTGTAGGGTTAACACACATTCACACCCACACATTTTAAGCTCTTATCCAGAGCAATTTACGGTAGTGAGGTCATACATTTTTTGTACTGGTTTCCCATTGGAATCAAACCCACAACCCTGGTGTCGCAAGCGCCATGTTCTACCAACTGAGCAACACAGTCAGTCAGTCAAGCCGCAGGCTACGTCATTCACAAGCTGCAGGTTTTCATGGTGAGGTGAGCAAACAGGTAAAAACACTTCCTGTCTAGTTGACATGTGTTCAGACTCATGTTCAGAGCATGCCCAGTAAATGCCACCCTATGCCCTATATAGTGTTCAGTATAAGGAATATGGTGTAATTTCAGATGTGCCCAGTCTCCATATACCATCTGTACTGTGCCAGCATGCGGAACACTCTAAGCAGTGTTTTCAGTTGGTGGATGTGAACAAATAAACACGTCATCAGTGTCATTCCGACATGCTATTGCACTGTAATATGTATTACCCCAGACAGGCACTTAAAAAAAACATCTAGTTGATTCAACTAGTTATTATTTAGTAACTGGTTCCGCAGCCTTTTTTAGTTTACTTAACTTTTCGGTCAAAGTGTTACCTGAACTAAACATTTCTAGTTGGCCCAAACTTGAGAAAACTTAGGTTAGGGACACCCACAAATTCAAGTAGCGCTTTGAACATACAATGTTTTCTGCCATTACGAAAACTGGCTCAAATTAAGATCCTACATCTGTACTTACAGCCTGACACACCTGTAAGACATGTTTACTCAACACAACTATGGATGAACCTGTCTACACAGATCTCTCTCGCTTTTCTTCTTTCTCTCTTAATCTCACTCTGTATCTCTTTCTGTCTGTTTCTCTTTTTTAATCCCGACCTGATTTGATATTCGATTAATCATCTGTATCATAATGACATTTGGCATTGGCATTGCCATGCTAAATATTAGTATTTACTGTCATATTAATCACTAAATACTGTTGTGATCTGTAATTTCTGTTAAATCTTGTGCAGATGTGTTACTGTAAGCAGGATTGTGTGTTAATGTGAAGGGTGTACTCGTTACACCAGTTGTCAATGACTCAACAACAATACCTTTATTATGTAGGTCGTCTTGATCTGGTCAGCATGTCTACCTGAGTGTACTGTCACTAAGAGTTCTCTCTCTCTATCCTATGACCCATTGCTCTCTTTATAATCTCTCTCTCTCGCCCTCTCTCTCACCCCCTCTCGCCCTCTCTCTATCCTATGACCCATTGCTCTCTTTATAAGCTCTCTCTCTCACCCCCTCTCGCCCTCTCTCTATCCTATGACCCATTGCTCTCTTTATAATCTCTCTCTCTCGCCCTCTCTCTCACCCCCTCTCGCCCTCTCTCTATCCTATGACCCATTGCTCTCTATATAAGCTCTCTCGCCCTCTCTCTCTCTCCTATGACCCATTGCTCTCTTTATAATCTCTTTATCTCTACCTCCCCCTCTCTGGGTACAGTATGGGTGTTGTGTGTTGCTTTTTGATAGAGAGGGTTATCACAGAGTTTTTCCCAGAGGCGCAACATCTTGACACTTCCGGGAACGCGTCGCGAAGCAGACTCGACCGACAGGGTTTGGCAAGTCAATGGGAGAAGTGAAAGATTTGTCCGTAGTTGTTAATTTTGTCGAATTCTAAAGGCAATAGATTGGAGCCAATGTCTTAAGTAACTGAACCTGTCATTACTACAACCCCGTGAAAGTGACAAACTAACACGTTAAAATTTTTGTCCAAAACAACGAAGGAGTGCCTTTCATTTGACAGCCTGCACATGCGCAGTTCGGCGCAACATGACCGTTAGACCCGATGACGTGTTTCTGCACATGAGCTTTGTTAGCCAACGTCGCCATGACATCGCCTACAAGCGTGATCGGGGATTTATATTGGAGAAGCAGTTTCTGCATATCTTCATACTATACTGTCTTTGGTGTTATGTTGGTATACACTAGGCAACAGATTGTTTTAGTAAGGGTGTTTGCTCTGTCACATTAATACACAACATATTTGTTTAGGGTACTCTATCACTAACAGAGGAACCTTACTAAATCAAGTAAAAAATGATGGAAGCTACAATCTATCTGCAAAAAAAACGAAAAACGAAAATATATATATTATGTGTATATTTTTCTCCCAAAGGTTTGAGTCCCTTCCCCCTAACCCCGACCCCATCATGGCCCACCGGTCCCAGAGTTCGGACATCGGGGACAACCCCCAGGACCCTAACTTCCTGACCCCCCACTACAGAGAAGAATACCGTCTCGCCATCGATGCTCTGGTGGAGAGAGACCTACAGGTACAGAAGAAATGTGTGTGTGGCGTGCATGCCCGTGTGGTGTCAGTGTGTGTGTGTGTGTGTGTGTGTGTGTGTGTGTGCGTGTGATTACTCCAGTGTGTGTTCTCTCTCCAGGGCTACTATGAATTTCTTCAGGCAACAGACGTGGTCGACTTCCTCTGTCAACCGGAAATCAAACACATCAAGACCACGATCCAGACACCCAACCAGGCCCCAACCTCGAACGTACCGGAGCTGCCCTATCATGAGGTAGCGTTAATAATGATAATGATATTATTGAAGTGAGAAGATAAGTATTTATGACAGTCTGAGCTACATGAAGGCGTCATAGTAAAAAGTGTGTTTTCAGGTGACAGAGTCTGCAAATGATTGATTGATTGATAAATTAATTTAATGTCAATAAAAAAGAGGTGGAGACATTGTATAATATTGTATATATAAACTCAGCAAAAAAAGAAACGTCCCTTTTTCAGGACCCTGTCTTTCAAAGATAATTTGTAAAAACCTAAATAACTTCACAGATCTTCATTGTAAAGGGTTTAAACACTGTTTCCCATGCTTGTTCAATGAACCATAAACAATTAATGAACATGCACCTGTGGAATGGTCGTTAAGACACTAACAGCTTACAGATGGTAGGCAATTAAGGTCACAGTTATGAAAACTTAGGACACTAAAGAGGCCTTTCTACTGACTCTGAAAAACACCAAAAGAAAGATGCCCAGGGTCCCTGCTCATCTGCGTGAACGTGCCTTAGGCATGCTGCAAGGAGGCATGAGGACTGCAGATGTGGCCAGGGCAATAAATTGCAATGTCCGTACTGTGAGACGCCTAAGACAGCGCTACAGGGAGACAGGACGGACAGCTGATCGTCCTCGCAGTGGCAGAACATGTGTAACAACACCTGCACAGGATCGGTACATCCGAACATCACACCTGCGGGACAGGTACAGGATGGCAACAACAACTGCCCGAGTTACACCAGAAACGCACAATCCCTCCATCAGTGCTCAGACTGTACGCAATAGGCTGAGAGAGGCTGGACTGAGGGCTTGTAGGCCTGTTGTAAGGCAGGTCCTCACCAGACATCACCGGCAACAATGTCGCCTATGAGCACAAACCCACCGTCGCTGGACCAGACAGGACTAGCAAAAAGTGCTCTTCACTGACAAGTCGCGGTTTTGTCTCACCAGGGGTGATGGTCGGATTCGCATTTATCGTCGAAGGAATGAGCATTACACCGAGGCCTGTACTCTGGAGCGGGATCGATTTGGAGGTAGAGGGTCCGTCATGGTCTGGGGTGTGTGTCACAGCATCATCGGACTGAGCTTGTTGTCATTGCAGGCAATCTCAACGCTGTGCGTTACAGGGAAGACATCCTGCTCCCTCATGTGGTACCCTTCCTGCAGGCTCATCCTGACATGACCCTCCAGCATGACAATGCCACAAGCCATACTGCTCGTTCTGTGCGTGATTTCCTGCAAGACAGGAATGTCAGTGTTCTGCCATGGCCAGCGAAGAGCCCAGATCTCAATCCCATTGAGCACGTCTGGGACCTGTTGGATCAGAGGGTGAGGGCTAGGGCCATTCCCCCCAGAAATGTCCAAGACCTTGCAGGTGCCTTGGTGGAAGAGTGGGGTAACATCTCACAGCAAGAACTGTCAAATCTGGTGCAGTCCATGAGGAGGAGATGCACTGCAGTACTTAATGCAGCTGGTGGCCACACCAGATACTGACTGTTACTTTTGATTTTGACACCCCCTTTGTTCAGGGACACATTATTCAATTTCTGTTAGTCACGTCTGTGGAACTTGTTCAGTTTGTCTCAGTTGTTGAATCTTATGTTCATACAAATATTTACACATGTTAAGTTTGCTGAAAATAAACGCAGTTTACAGTGAGAGGACATTTCTTTTTTTGCTGAGTTTATATTCATATTTTCCTGTTGTCATAGTGTAAATATAGTTAACTAACAGCCTGCCCGTGTTTCCCCCAGGCAGACGCCGACGGCTCGTCAGACACCTACTGGCCGATGCACTCTGACACAGCTGCCCCGGGGTTGGACCTGGGCTGGCCCCTCCAGGCGCACAGCTTTATCGGCCCCACCGAGGTCACGACCCTGGTCAACCCCAGCGAGCCCGACATGCCAAGCATCAAGGAGCAGGCCAGACGACTCATCAAGAACGCACAGCACGTATGTGGAGGGGCGGGGAGAAGGGATGTACACAGACACACACACACACACTCACACAGACTCACACACAGCACGTACAGCACTTACAGAGGCACATACACACACACACCTGTTCAGGTCTACGTGGTGTAAAGGGGAAGTGTACCGTATGTCAAATCAAATCGAATTGTATTGGTCACATTCGCCGAATACAACAGGTGTAGACATTGCCGTGAAATGTTTACTTACGAGCCCATTCCCAACAATTCAGTGTTAAAAAGTAAGAAAAATATTTGCTAAATAAAAAAGGAAATAGTAACACCAAGTCAATGTGCAGGAGTACCAGTACCAAGTCAATGTGCAGGGGTACCAGTACCAAGTCAATGTGCAGGAGTACCAGTACCAAGTCAATGTGCAGGAGTACCAGTACCAAGTCAATGTGCAGGGGTACCAGTACCAAGTCAATGTGCAGGAGTACCAGTACTAAGTCAATGTGCAGGGGTACCAGTACCAAGTCAATGTACAGGAGTACCAGTACCAAGTCAATGTGCAGGGGTACCAGTACAAAGTCAATGTGCAGGAGTACCAGTACCAAGTCAATGTGCAGGGGTACCAGTACCAAGTCAATGAGCAGGGGTACCGGTACCGAGTCAATGTGCAGGGGTACCAGTACCAAGTCAATGTGCAGGAGTACCAGTACCAAGTCAATGTGCAGGAGTACCAGTACCAAGTCAATGTGCAGGAGTACCAGTACCAAGTCAATGTGCAGGGGTACCAGTACCAAATCAATGTGCAGGAGTACCAGTACCAAGTCAATGTGCAGGGGTACCAGTACCAAGTCAATGTGCAGGAGTACCAGTACCAAGTCAATGTGCAGGAGTACCAGTACCAAGTCAATGTGCAGGAGTACCAGTACCAAGTCAATGTGCAGGGGTACCAGTACCAAGTCAATGTGCAGGAGTACCAGTACTAAGTCAATGTGCAGGGGTACCAGTACCAAGTCAATGTACAGGAGTACCAGTACCAAGTCAATGTGCAGGGGTACCAGTACCAAGTCAATGTGCAGGAGTACCGGTACCAAGTCAATGTGCAGGGGTACCAGTACCAAGTCAATGAGCAGGGGTACCGGTACCGAGTCAATGTGCAGGGGTACCAGTACCAAGTCAATGAGCAGGGGTACCGGTACCGAGTCAATGTGCAGGGGTACCAGTACCAAGTCAATGTGCAGGTGTCACGTTCGTTGACGGACGGGTCAGACCAAGGCGCAGCGTGATATGCATACATGTTTATTTAAACCGAGTCAATGTGCAGGGGTACCAGTACCAAGTCAATGTGCAGGGGTACAAGGTAGTTGAGGTAATACAGTATGTACATGTAGGTAGGGGAAACAGTGACTAGTCAATCAGGATAGATAATAAACGGAGTAGCAGCCGAGTATGTGAAGAGTGTGAAAGTGTGTCTGTGTGAGTGTGTGTGGCGTCAATATGTGTGTGAGCATGTGTGTGTTGGAGTGTCAGTGTAGTATGTGTGAGTGTGTGGGTAGAGTCTAGTGAGTGCAAGAGAGTCAGTGCAAAAAAATTCAGATAAAACAAATAAATAATAAAAGGGGTCAATGGTAATAATCCGGGTAGCTACTTGATTAACTGTTCAGCAGTCTTATGGCTCGGAGGTAGAAGCTGTTCAGGTGCCTTTTGGTCCCAGACTTGGCGCTCCGGTACCGCTTGCCGTGCGTTAGCAGAGAGAACAGTCTATGACTTGGGTGGCTGGAGTCTTTGACAATTTTTAGGGCCTCCCTCTGACACCACCTGGTATAGAGGTCCTGGATGGCAGGGAGTGTAGCCCCAGTGATGTACTGGGCCGTACGCACTCCCCTCTGTCGGATGCCGAGCAGTTGCCATACCAAGTGGTGATGCAGCCAGTCAAGATGCTCTCAATGGTGCAGCTGTAGAGATGTTTGAGGATCTGAGGGCCCATGCCAAATCTGTTCAGCCTCCTGAGGGGGAAGAGGCATTGTCATGCCCTCTTCATGACTGTGTCGGTGTGTTTGGACCATGATGATAGGTCCTTAGTGATGTGGACACCGAGGAACTTGAAGCTCTCGACTCGCTCCCGTTAATGTTAAATGGGGGCGTGCTCGGCCCTCTGTTTCCTGTAGTCCACGATAAGCTCCTTTGTCTTGCCCACATATGTCCCAGCAGTGAGGGGAGGAGTGGAGTCCAACTGACAGTTACAGATCACACCTGTATTCCCAAACCCAGGCCTTCTCACCCCAATCCACCCAACAACACACCGTTATCGTAATAGCATTCCCATCCCGTTGAATATCTATTCTGTTCTTTTTTATCAGGCGTTACCTCTCAGTCACTATCCCTCAGACAGAGATCCAGTGTTGCAGATAGAGTGATGTTAATGATTATTTGTTAGTTAGAACTATGGACGCTGTTGTCTTAAACTTTGTCAGTCAGTCAGTCAGTCTGCCCCCGCTCTGCCCTGCTTATCCACCACGCCCTGTCCCTGAAGATGAATGACTTGCACTCAGCTCAACCTCCTAAAGAATACAATTACGTTTCAGTGTGTGTGCGTGTGTGTGTGTGTGTCTAAATGTCACCAGAGTTGCCAAACCTGTTAATCTGACTGGCCATGTCTCTGTCACTGTCCTCCCTCTTTCTGTGTGTGTGTGTGTGTGTGTGTGTGTGTGTTTCATGTACAACTATGCTGAATAAACCAAAACCTGATGTGATATTTTCTAGTTTCTAATTGGCTAATGTGATATTTTCCTGTCTCTCATTGGGCGTTGCTAGGTCATCGCCGTGGTGATGGACATGTTTACAGATGTGGATCTGTTTTCTGACTTGCTGGATGCTGCGGCGCGTCACGTCCCCGTCTACATCCTATTGGACGAACAGAATGCCCATCACTTCGTCTCCATGGTGACCAACTGCAAGGTCAACCTGGACCTTGTCCACGTGAGTCTCTGTGTTTGGCCTAGATTGAACTATTTTAGGCGGGGTGACTCTCCACGTCTTAACTCAGGTTAACCTACTAGGTGTGCAGGCATTTGATCCAGCCCAGCACTAGCACACACAGCACAAGGCTAAGAAATAAAAATAGTTATTAATAGTTTGAAAAACACATGGTTTGAGCCGACAGTCTTACAGACAGTATTCCAGTGTTTCTGTGTTGACTGGCAGGAGGCCACTGTTTCATAGCAGTAAGTAATTTATTTACCTACTGTACTATTACATGATGTCTAACTGATAGATCTGAGCTTGGTTACATAAATGTCAACAGAGTGGACAAACTGGTTTGATTTTCCCTTAGAACTCACTACAGAATTACATCATTTATTAAAGACATTAACCCCTTGTGACTCTGAATAACTATTTTGTGTATTCGTGTGTGTGTGTGTTGCAGATGATGCGTGTGCGGACGGTGGCGGGGGTGACCTATTTCTGTCGGACAGGGAAGTCATTTAAAGGACAGGTGAAAAACCGCTTCCTATTGGCTGACGGCAGGGCAGTGCTCAGCGGAAACTACAGGTGAGCATAGAAATATAACAGATTTCAACACTTGACTATAGTTGAGCATAGAAACACAGCAGATAGAACAGATATCAGATACTTCTTTAGTCGCAGAAGCTAATGTGTCATATCCTGTTTCCTGTAGTTTCATGTGGTCCTATGAGAAGCTGCATCGCTGCATCGCTCATCTCTTCCTGGGAGAGCTGGTCACCACCTTCGACGAGGAGTTCCGCATCCTGTTCGCTCAATCACAGCCCCTCACTGTTGACCACGCCCTAGTGCCTGTTTCCTCTGACAGCAGCAGCAGCAGTTACTACGGTAACCAGTTTGGGTTGAAGCGGACCCAGTCCCTGCGAAACCCTTGGGGTTTCCAACGACACACCCCCGAACTTCCGGCCTACCCTTTCGGAGGAGGAGATTCCGAGCGCTCTGCATTCCACAGAGATGACATGTTCCGACACACCATAGAACCAGGAGGACTGAATCTTGGGAAGTTTGCAGCGTCACAGCAGTTCAGGATGCAGCAGTCCTTCCTGGAACAGGGCCGCTCCATGGTCTCCAGGTGGGATGGTGCACGTAGATTTATGTAAAACTAGATTTGATGTAGAACTCACCATCACATGAAGGTTGTGTCTGTAATGGCACTCTATTCACTATAGATCACTACACTCTTAGAAAAAAGGGTTCGGCTGTCCCCATAGGAAGAACCCTTTTTGGTTTCAGGTAGAACCTTTTTTGGTTCCATTTAGAACCCTTATTGGTTCCATGTAGCACCCACTGTGGAAAGGGTTCTACATGGAACCCAAAAGTGTTCTACCTGGAACAAAAAGGGTTCTACATTGAACCAAAAATAGTTATTCAAAGGGTTCTCTTATGGGGACAGCCAAATAACCCTTTTAGGTTCTAGATAGCACCTTTCCTTCTAAGAGTGTATACATGGAATAGAGTGCCAAAGTCAAACATGAGTATTCAACCGATTTTGGGGAACTTTACCCATAAACAGTTAACCTATTATATTAAATTGTTTATGTGTCCTCTGTTACCATATTAAAGTGTTTTGTTTGTGTTTCCTGTGTTCGCAGGCAGATGGAGATAAGCGCCAGTGACTATAAGAGGCACAGCTATGCAGAGGGAACCCAGGAGAGCTACTCCTCTTCCAGACAGTACATGAAGCACAGAGTCATGAACAACCTGGAGGAGACAGAGCAGCACTACCACAGGTACTAGTTAGTTAATTAGTTAGTTGGTTAGTTATTTAGTTTATGTTGTCTTTGTCAGCTTGACTTAATATTGTGATCAGGTCAGGCAAAACTCTTGGCCCTAGTTATAATCTTTAAAAAAAGATATGTAAAGCATGTTGGGTTTTTATGATCCATTATTCTGATGATGTTGATGACGATGATGCTTCTGCTGCTGCTGATGATTTCTGAACATGTTTGTATTCCAGGGAGCAGAGCCAGTCCAGCCACTACTACCAGGGTGGTGAGGGACCTGGGTTAGGGCTGGGGTCAGGGCTAGAGGGATCTGGCTCAGGCCATGGACACTACAACAGGCTGAGGAACAGACCAGCGCTGGACCAGTACTCTGACTCAGGCTACCCCCATGAGGAACCTCCTGGTCCAGAGGGATACAACAGAGACTACTTCTCCTCTGAGGACCTGAAACATGACCCGGGACAACCACCGGCAGGGGGAAGGTACGTGGTATGGAGAGTCCACTGGACTGGAGAATGATGAGTCATATTTTTTCACTGTTGACTGCTCCCACTAGAGTTCTTAAATGAAGCTTTTAGTGATACGCACACAACATTTCGGTCAAAAGAAATTGTAAGTATCAACCATGTCACTCGAAATGTGTGTATACTAATGTAACACCTTCTCCTTTGTCTAGGTACGGAGGTGGCAGTGGCCACAAGAGGCCGACGGTGGGCCAGCCCTACGCCTGCCTGTCATCCCCCACCCATCCCCACCCCCCAGAGAAGCAGCTGTTCCCCATCCCAGCGGAGGCAGACCACGACCAGGACCCCAACGTCAGACAGGGCCTCCGCAGCTGGAGGATCAACTCCTACCTCAGCGCCTACGGGGACACAGGAGAGGAGGGGCTGCCCCAACCTCTGGGCCCTGACGCTTTCCAAGACCCAGAGTCTGAGGGGAAACCATACACCCATGAGGGGTCTGTACCCCGCTTTGAGGCGAGAGAGCCTCCGAATGTCCCCTACAAGCCTAGACCGGATATCCGACCGCTGCGCTTTAGCAAGCCCTTAATGCCTGAGAGCATGGGGAAGGACAGGGCTGACCGTTGTACCACAGAGTGGGAGAGAGAGAGAGAGAAAGAGCGGGAGGTGGGGGGGAGGGAGGTGGGGGCGGACGTGGAGATGCCATCGTCGAGGGAGGCTCCGGGGGAGGTCTCGCTCTCCAAACACGAGTCGGTCCGGATGCGGATCAACCCGATGCTCCAGAGGAGCTCCCGGCTGCGCTCCTCCCTCATCTTCTCCTCCTCCAAGATGGAGACCCACATGGGAGGCCTGGGCATGAAGGTCTTTATTACCTTTCATATCATCTCAGATTTGTTTTATTTGTTATTTATTTATTTAATTCCAGTGTATTGCAACCTTGATTTGAAATGTGCCATACGAATAAAGTTTAATTTGATTTGATGCAGGTGGCCAACGAGGAGGACGAGAATTCCGAACCGCTCCGCACCACCTCCATCGTCCAACAGATCCTGGAGAAGAGACGCTCCTTGACCCGGGAACCCTTTGAGTGGAGGAAGAAGGCAGAGGATAACGAGAGAGAGAAGGAGAAAGAAGAGAAGGAGGCTCGGTTGAAAGAGAAGGCTGAGCTAAAGAAGGAGCCCCCCAAAGTAACCCCAGCCAGCAGAGAGGTGCCTAAGAACCCCCCGGCCGATCTGGAGACCACGAAAGTTTCCCCAGCATCTACAGATCCCCCCAAACCCCAGACATTGAACATGAACGACCCTTCCAATAGACTGCAGTACTTCATGGAGCTGGCTGCTAAGAGGAACGCATCTAAAGAGGCTGTGATAAAAGAACCTCCTCAGAAGAAACCAGACCTCTCAGACACTCCTTCTTCCAGCACCACCACAACCACCACCTCGGTCCCCAAAGTCCCCTTGTTTTTCGTGACTGCTCCAGAGCCTGCCCCAAAGAAACCACAAGTCGCAGCCACACCAGAGCTAACACGCAAACTGTCCATCACCTCAAGATTCAAAACCTCAGAACCTGACGCTTCTACTACCACAGTCCAGAGAAGAGACAGCAGCTCGGAGTCACAGAGGAAAGAGAAAGAGCCCGGTAAGATTCTAAAGCCATTCCCTTCTCCGAAGATCTTCAAGAGGGACGCTCTGAAGCTGTTCAAGAGCTCCAACCCACGCCACGTCTCCTGCGATGAGGAAATGCTAACGACGGACGCTACAGACGCGGAGAAAAGCGAGCTGAAGAGGTCTCGCTCCAAAAGCTCGTCCGGTATGTCACAGACCGAGTCCAAGGAGGGGCTCCACAAGAACCTGGGCTCCAACATCTCCCTCAACACCATAGGAGGGGAGGGCAAGGCCGACGCCAAGCCCCTGGACTTCCTCAAGAAGCAGACCCAAAGACTCAAAGGTATGTTGTACTGTCTGTGTGTCTGTCACGGATTGTTACGTCCATGTTTACTGGTTTTCATTTTTTTAAATGTAATTGCTGTGCTCATGATGTATAAAACAAATTCCCTTAGGAGCAATAAAGGTTTTAATTTATTCATTAATTCAATTATTAATTCAAAGGCTTCCTGGGACCCAAGGACAAGAAGAGTTCCGGTGGTGCGACATTGGCGTCCAACGGAGACGAAAAGACCATGAGAACCGTGCCGGAGAGCTCAGAGGAGCCTGGGATCGCCGCTAAACACCTGAGCTCCTCTGCCGACGCTAAAGCCACAGACCACACCACCTCCTCAGCCAATTACAAAGCTGCATCCAAAACGACAGGTCTGTCTCGGTACCAGAGCTCCAGCGGCTCAGTTCTGTTCAGTAGCAACCTGAGAGACGACACCAAGGTCATCCTGGAACAGATCTCTGCTAACAGCCAGAAGAACCGGCTGGAGCGAGGAGGAGGAGAGGAGGCCGGAGGGGAGAAGGGCGTAGACGTAGCGGGGGAGAAAGGAGGGCTGGAAAGGGAGCCAACGCTGAAAAAGAACCGCTTCATGAGGCCCCAGGCCAACCCTCAGGAGAGAGATAGTCTCCTGAAGAGGATCGAGAGCATGAGGAAGGACAAGAAGGTCTACAGCCGCTTTGAGGTACTCTACCTTAGCAGACAGAAGGTCTGCAGGGAGGAGGAGGGCTACAGGAGAGGGGAAAGAGAGGAGGAGGATAGAGGGAGAGGAGGAGGATAGGGGGAGTGTAGAGAGGAGTAAATACACACCTTTACTGGTTATGTCCAGGAGATAAAATAATATATTAATAATAATAATAATATATGCCATTTAGCAGACACTCGACTTAATAGAAGAGACATTTAAATGTTATGAATTATAGCCCTTAATGTGAAACATATATTTGATGCTGCTATTTAAAGATGTGACACAGAATTGTATTTATTTTGTTTCCCGATAATTTGATAAGGATTTGCAACAATAAATGGTTATGATATTTTTACATAGTGCACAGAATGACTCAGTGAGTTTTAATTTTGTGGATATGATATCATAGGGACATTAGTTTGGCTCTTAATTAAGTTACCACTGAAGTTACCATTAAAACCAGGTGAACTATGAAGCACGTTAGTACCTAAAGAGATCTTCCACACTGAAAGCTGATACCCAGGGGGAGGAGGGGGTGATGAGTGGAGAGGAGAGAAGAGGTAGGGATGACAGGAGAGAAGGAAAGATGAGGGAGGGGGGGGGGGGGGGGGGAGCATGAGGGAGGGAAAGGGGGAGGATCAGAGACAGAATAAGATCGTATTCCACTCACTGTCATTCCTGATGTTCTGTTCACAGATGGGGAATAACCTGGGATAACTAAAGATGTCTGAGGAACCTATTGACTGGAAGCTGAGTGCGTGTGTGTGTGGAGGGCTCGCAAGCACACACCAACACGCACACACACACACACACACCATTCCCATTCAGCAACATATGTGCCAAACACATCATCAGAAGACCAGAGAGAGAGGGAGAAAACACTGAACGCAACAACAGCAGATACCTCCTGTGACATCAGACTGCAGTCTTCGCAGATAATCAGACACTACTGTACTAAACCTTTAAAAGATTGACTATGAAACGTGAGATGAAACTGTACCCATATAAGGCAAGCGTTGTCTGGTTGGTTTTTGCCTTATATGGACTTCATGGGACAACTTTTCACAGATTCACCACAACCCTTCATCCACGCCTAGAGTGAGAGAGAGAATGTGTGAGAGAGGAAGTGTGTGTTGTGTGTGCATGTTTTACTGCAAGAAAGCAACTGAACACATGCCCAGCCATCAAACATGCCTCTACAGAACTGCACAATCCCAGTGCCAGTCGTGTGTATGTGTGTGTGTGTGGAAACTGGTAATGCTGAAAGTATGTCTGTGGGTTTACACTGTGCCAATGGAGCGCCACGTCTCTCGTCAAACCCAGAGAACTCTTATTAACCAGTCTCCAAACTAAAGACAGCGGAGAGGGAGAGAGATGGGGGGAGAGAGAAAATGATAGAGGGAGAGAGGAAAAATACAGATTAACCCAGCTAGCACATTTGGTTCCTTGGAAGTTGTGGAAACGTACGTTTTTTTGTTTTCCATTGGTTCTTGGAACAAAGCCATACGTTTCCTGACTGGTAAAACGGAACGTTTTTTAAACGTTCTGAGAAACTGAATGAAATTTTTGCCTGTTCTGGGAACATTTTTAGGTTGCAGGGAGGTTCTGAGAACGATTTACTGTGGTTCCCTTAAGGTTTTTTTGGGAGGTTTTATTAACGTTCTGAGAACGGTAATTATACATTATTTGAAGGTAATTAAATAATGTTCTAAGAACACTGCTAGCTTAGTTTAACTGTTTTGAACTCCAAGCACAGATAATACACATGGAAATTAATTTGCTTAGGCATTAATCATGCAAACACATTTATTTTGTATTGTGGTACGGCGTCAGTGAGAATCAAACCTATGATCTTCTGTTCTCTAGCCATGGAATTAGTCCACTGCACCACCAAGATGGCGCTAGCATGCCATGTTTTTTAAACTCCTACAAAGCTGTTAATTTTAGTCTTCAAAAAGACCCCATTACAAAGGAAACACGCACTTATTAAGATCAGGTATGGCCAATTAGTGGGCGCGGCCAACACACCTGAACACACTTAACAAGATAGAGGATTGAGAGAGTTTTGTTGATGCTGAATGTATACGTTTTTAAATAACATTCTTAGAACAATCTTTGAACGCTATTAATGTTTTCTTGTGGTTTTATGGAAAGTTTTCTCAATATTCTGAGAACATGACTTTAAATAGAACCATGAGGAAACCTGCCGAAAATGTTATGCTGAATTACTGAAATTCCCACAGAAGATCGTTGTTTCTTAATGTTCTCTGAACGTTCCGAGAACATTACTTTAAATAGAACCATGAGGAAACGTGCAGAAAATGTTATGCTTAAGCACTGAAATTCCACCTAAGAAACATATGGTTCTCAGAATCTAATGTGCTGTCTGGGTATCCTGCAGCATTCCCAGAACTTTGTGGGAAGGTTGTATGCAAAATAATCATAGGACAACCACACTCTCACCAAGCTCTAAGAAACATATGGTTCTCAGAACGTTATGTGCTAGCTGGGAAAGGAGATGAAAAAAAATGGACCAACACAACAGGGTAAGAGAAAGAGAATTAGAAACTGTGCATGTGGCTTGCAGGTCTTTACACATTGTTGTAAATTAATTAAATCACCAGTACCTTAGAAGACAAGTTGAGATTGAGACTGCTTTGTTGCAGCCCTGTGTGAATGCAGGTACCTTGAAAACATGCACCCTTCACTTCCTTTACTTCCTGGACTGAACGTAGTGAGTTGGATAGGGTCTGAGTGATATTTCCACCACAAAACCTTCACCTATCCAGTCAAGTCAGGCCAGACATCTTTGAGGAAGAAAGGTAGGGAAGAAGGAAGGAAGGATGCATTTCTAAAATGTTGGAACAGGGCTGTATTTTAAATAAGAGCATAAAAACTGCCACGCCTTGAGTCTGTCTGTTTGTCTCGGTCCACTACACCAGAAGTGGAAAGAACATTTCCAAGTACATGAACACACTCTATAAAAAATACTTAGTGAGGCTATCGCAATTAATGCCAGTGTTGTGTTCGAGACCACCTAAAGCGAGACCGATTCAAGACCAAGACCAGAGCAAATGAGGGCCATGTCAAGACCAAGACCGGAGTGGGGGCTAGACTGAGTCAAGACCGAGACCAGAAAAATGCGAGTCCAATTCAAGACCATGATTGTAATTTTGTGAAATCATCTCTAGCTGTGTACAGCCACCGAAAAAACGTAATGAGGGGAAAAAGTCAGTCACTCACCCACTCCTTCAATGGCATGACATGACATCCTCCTAGCAGCTAGCTAGCTATCTAGCTAACGTTAGGCTCCGTGTTTTTAGCTTGCTACATAAATAGATACGCTAGCCTATAGCCACGTTATGACTGACTTGTGATCATTGCCCTTGCTAGCAGTGTTGCCAACTCCTCAGTAAGGAAAGTAGCTATTGGCTGTCCTAAAAGTCGCTAAATGACATCATCACCTAATTTGCATAATTGGCCATGTGCATGTAATTGTGATGGACGCTGTAGGAGAGAGGAATAGCGTCATGGGAGAGTCAAAAAGCGAGTAAAAAACACCATACATTTACATTCCGCCCTGAATGTAAGCCAGGGCGGGATCAGCCAGCGGTGGCTTCCCGCATGCGTGATTCATTTGCAGTCTAGACACGGAGGAGTGAACATCTCCTGCTCTGACTACAGCTGGGAGGGACTGCTGCGCGAGGACTGGGCCGCCTGTGAGTGCTTTGCTCGTTGAGAAGAGTAAGAACGATACGTGCTTTCACGTCAGAGTCTCTAATAACACCAGAAAATGTCGCTAGATTTGTCACTAGTCGCTTTTTTGAAAATGTGTCACTAGAGGGGTCTGAAAACTCGCAAAATATAGCGACAAAGTTTCTAAGTTGGCAACACTGCTTGCTAGTTTGATTGTATTGACATTCCCAGCCTTAGTTACATTTATCAGTTTTTGTCCAGAATATTGAGTCATTGAAACTGAAACAGTGCATCCCGAATGGAGGCAGCAAACAATGCACCAGGCCAGTTGTGATTTACAACCTGATAGCAATATTTTTTGGACTACCAAGAAATGTTTTGGTGAATTACAGTAATCATGCATTGAACTGCATCTATCTAATCTGCCAACAATGCCTTAGTGTACATCATGGAACGTTGAGTCAAATATAACTTATTTTTAAAACCTCTTATAAAGTTGGTTTTGTAGCATCAACTGGGAATTTGATATTTTTGACTGATATTATGATGGTTTGTTTCATACCTGCAAAGTAGATAAAACGCTGTCATTTTCACTTTAAACTTTAGGTCATCGGTTGCTTTGTGTGCTAAATGTGAAATGTTTTTTGCAATGGGAAGTATTAGTTGTACATTTTGATTGGGAAATGCCTAATGGTTGTGCTTTTGTATTCTTATGATTGGGACCTACTGGCTTATTATGTCAGAGTGAATGGACTGCTTATCCTTTACATCATGCTGTGTGTGACTGCTGTCTTTCCATCGGCCCTATGCAGTGGTGTAGTGCTGCCTGGAGAAGTGGGTATACTATAATTTTGCCAAAAAGTTCCCAAACGGCCCGCCCAGCGAAGGAAAGACAACCTGTGTGAAAAATCCTATATTATCCTATACATTTTTCAGATTTTCACTCTCAAAATCACACCTTTTTTTTATAGAAAAAAGACAAAAATGTGATGGTCTAAGTCCACAACAATGCTTAAATAATAATAATATGCCATTTAGCAGACGCTTTTATCCAAAGCGACTTACAGTCATGTGTGCATACATTTTTACATATGGGTGGTCCCGGGGATCGAACCCACTACCCTGGCGTTACAAGCGCCATGCTCTACCAATTGAGCTACAGAGGACCACAATCAATCTGATTGGGTGGGCCTGTCAGGGCCTGGCTCCCCAGTGGGTTTGCCTCTGTCCATCCAGGCCCATCCATGTCTACACCCCTGATGCAAACAGCACATGATAACACTTGCGCATCACAAATAGCCTTCTAACCAACACTAAATACTAAACCTTTTCAATACCTGGTTTGCATACCCATTGTTGCCTTAGTTAGCATTTACTGGTAGATATCATAAGTTAAA